TCATAAAATAATTACAGGATTACAACTGTGATAAGAGCTATGAAAGAGATGTCCAAAGTGTTACAAAAATGTTTAACAGGGGCTTGGTATCTAGTCTTTGGGGTCAGAGAAATAACATTCAACTTAAGACTTAAAGGATGATGGATATCATGATACATACTTAATCTCTATGCAATTTCCAATCACCCTATGTGGTATTATTATTTCATCTCCACATAAGATAAATAAACGACAAAAGCAGGAGGGGCCCTGGACAATTAAAATCAGTGTTCAACTTTTGCAAATAATTAAACCAGAACTTAGCCTTTCATCATTAATAAAAAGTTTAAGACAATTAAGTAGGACCTTAGACAATATATAAACATCATTTGTATGTAAAGTTAAAACATTTCGGAAAGATTAAAAGTAATAAAGCACAGGATATTACCTTTCTTCATAAACTCCTAATTTGTTAAAAAGTCAGAATTACATTAGTTTTTGTCCTTTACTCTTAATGAGCAAACCCCCCCCTTTTTTAGGGAAACAATTTTATTATTTCGAGAAAACTTTCCATTGTGAATAACAAGTACAACTTATTTATGAGTCCTGCTAGATAATTTCCATCACTTGGGCTTGGAAATAGGGCAGTTTTCTAGAGAGAAGAAGAAAGCTTCCCAGGAAGAGAATGCTTGAAACTAGTAATGAGAAATTGCTTAAAGAGAGTCGACTAGTGGTAACACAAAAAACTGATTAAATGTATTTTAATATTTAATATTATGTTTTATATTATGAAAGTTTTTTCAATATTTGGCAGAAATTTTACAGAAAAATTAAAATTTAAAATTTACTCTGTAAGTAGTTTGTGACATCTTTGCTATAATAGATTTCATAGAAACTGATCAATATCCCTACTAAATTCCTTTCATACTTAAAAAATTTTTAAATGAAGGTATGTGACTAGTTACATTTCATTTTTATTAAAGATGAAAAAGTGTATATAATTTAAATGTATGAGATGACTGAGTTACAGTCACACACTGGATATAAAAACTGTAGAATCTTTTTACCAATAATCCTAAGACAAGGCTAACCAAAATTCTGAGGTTTAGAAAAGAAATTAAAGAGTGTCTTGGCTTTTTTTTGAAGTCAGAATCCAATTCCTTTTCCTTTTAGGTTCTTCTACTTCACAGCAGATACTGTTTTTTGATTTTAATCTTTCTTTCATAATGTGGAATCCAAGGAATAAATTTTAATAAGGATCTCACCAATGCCAAAGATAGTAGACGACATTTTCATGGTTTTTGCTGGATGCATTAATTTATCCATTTGCAATTCTGCTAGGAAGTAGGGATGTCAGTCTCTTATTATTTAAAAGGGAGTAAAAACCCAATCCAATAAGGTTGCTGTCGTGGAAAGCAGGACTCTTGGGAAAACTGCCTTCTAACTTTTAAGTAAATTACTAGTTTTGATTTGTGCTTAGTGGACCACTGCATCTTGTCATTAGTAGCTGAATGCTCAACTTCAATAACCAGATCTGATTCTCTGGTTCAATTGAATTGGAGTTCCATTAATGAAAATAAGATCATCATATTCCAGTCTTCTGCAGACTAACAGTCATTAGTTAATGTGCACTGAGAATTGACAAAGTGAATAGTGTGAATGTGTGGCTTTTTGGAAACACTGTTATTTTATTAATTTCATTAAATGTTCTTCATTTAGTTACATGACATTCCACAAAATGTACCCCCAAACAGTTACAAGTTTCAAGGTTTTCTTTTGCCTTGTGTGAGAACAACAGAAAGCATCCATAAAAAATGCTACTTTTATTTCTAGAGGCTTCATTGGGATATCTCAATATGTGCCTTTATAATAAAATATCACAATTTACATGAGTATCCCACAGTCAATTATAAGAGCACATGTTTTCTCATGAAAAAATCTTATCACAGAAAGTCCACTTTTCAGAAAGACACAAAAACAAACAGTTCAAATGAAGAAGTATCTCTTTAATCATATCTCCATGATTAAAAAGTCTGTCTGTGGGCATTATTCATTATCTACTCATTTCAAGTAAAATATCTTACACATAAAACAATGATTATTATTATATTCACTTATAGTAAGCTTCAAAACTCATAAATGTAAAAATCAGCACTTGAAAAGGATTTGTAGAAAAAGTACCACAAAGTGTAATGTATGTTCATGTAATCTTAGCTGCCATACATGTGCAATAAAATTTATTTAACAGGAACAATCAAACGTTATGGCTACAAATGAATATAAATACAATTGGGATTCACAGGGCAGAAGAAATAAGCTATTAGATGGCAATTATCCAATTATCACATTCTGTATAAATGACTCAAGTTGGTCATTATTATGCATTGAGAGTCCATTTATGGAATTTACAAAATGTATATTAATATTCTTTTCTATTAGTGGGGCTGAAATATGGCCTATGAAAGGTTTCTGTTTAATTATAATACTGAATTAATGATGCAATTAATATTTATTCGAATTCCTCTTAAATCTTACACATTATAAGTGTCCTTGAACTTTAAATTTTAAAAGACACTTAAAATATCTGGATATAGACTCGCACTTTCATTTAAAGATATAATTAGTTCTTAAAACATTAAGCTAGAGAAAAGAAAAAAGAGCATTTCAATTGCAAGTAGTTATCTGATATGTTTTACAGCTTAGTCATTTGTTACTGAAAGTTATCACAGCATATTAGATATAGTTTTTGTTATCAAAAACACTCTTATTCATTTCATTCTATGTTGAATCTTCCATTAAGGTAGAATTGTGACCTGAAGTGCTTACAGTGGCTGTCTGGGTAGTGAGATCTTTTTCATACTCTTATGTATACGTTTTCTAAAGGCTCTCTAATGACCACAGATTGTATACAGTTTCCTCTTCCTTTCTCTGTCTAAATACAGTATATATCAGAAATCTACAAATTCTCACTATGTATACCCTCATTTCAATTAAAAAAACCTCTCATCTAAAGTTGGTAGTTGTGGAAGCAGGTGATGAATGCATGGAGGTTGTTCATCATATGTTTTCTCCACTTTTCTATAAGTTTGGAAATGTTATAATAAAGGGTTAAAAAATGTGGTGTCTATCTATATACATAGTCCTATGCCAGAGGTTATATTGAAAATGTTACAAAATAGGTCCTGATTCTCTAGGAACATACAATTTAGGACCTGTAATGCCAATGAAGACTGACATATAGAAAATGCTCTAAGAATAAATGCACATGGGGTAAGTACAGAGAGTAAAATGAGTTCACTTTTGCAACTTTCATGATAGTTATCTTCTTTCTCCTGTTTCTCCTTTGACCTCCCTCAAATTTTGACGACTCTCTTGTTCCTATCTGTTAGTTGAGAGCCACCAAGTCCTGCCACTTTTCCTAGCAGTTTTTCTGAGGGCCACTGCTTTCCACTGTCACAGCCACTGTCAACCTGGACCCTAGAAATTTTTTGCCTAGATTTCTACAGAGACATCTTAGTTGTGCTCCTTAATTTCTGGTCTCACCTGATTTCAAAATTCACTTTGAATCCTGCTGTCAAATTCAACTTCCAAAAACAGAACTTGTCAATCCTTTATTTCAGGAACGTGAAGCCCATTCCTCCTGTACTATTCCAACACAGCCATTCTGCCTACTCAGGCTGTACCTCTTATCAATCCCTTAGGAAACTTACCCACACATTCTCCTGTCTCCTTGTCTTTGTTCAGTCTTCTGCCTCAGCTTACACTTCTATAAATCTCGCATCTATTTATTTATTATAAACACTTATTTACATAAATATTTTTTGGATACTTTCAAGATCTACTTCTTCCTCCATAAATGTCCTATTTTACAGCCATGATTTTACCTTCCTCTGAGTTACTTCAGTATTTGTGAGTGTCATCTGAACCACATGCGCTTTGTGGGCTAAGTGATTCAGTGGGTTCTAATTTTGACTGCCCATTAGAATCACCAGTGTTTGTGAGTGATAGCTAAGGTATTTATTACAGAGGTAGAAAACTGGCAGCCCTGGCATGCTTTGTTTGGCCCACAGAGTGCTTTTGAAAAATTTTAGAACATAATAAAAATTGTCAGATTTATCATAAAGAGCCAAATATGCAGCTCCTTTGAAAAAATGGGAGATCTACTGTATTCCTGAAAGGCAACACTGGCAAGAACTGAATTGCAACTATCCCTTCTAGACTGAGAGTAAGTTTCCAGCTGGCTACGGTCCCCACCACTCCCTAGCTCCCTCACAGGTGCTGAGTGTTATTTGCTATTTATTGTATCATTTGCATAGTTATTATTATTATTTTTGAGTTGGAGTCTCACTCTGTCACCCAGACTGGAGTGCAGTGGCATGCTCCCGGCCACCGTAGCCTTGACCTGCTGGGTTCTGGAGATCCTTCTGCCTCAGCCTTCCAAGTAACTGGAACTACAGGCACACGCTACCATGCCCAGCTAATTTTTGATTTATTGTAGAGATGAGGTCTCACCAAGTTGTCCAGGCGAGTCTCGAACCCGCAGGCTCAGGCAATCCACTCACCTCAGCCTCTCAAGGTGCGGGATTACAGGCTGAACCACCAAGCCTGGCTTCATTTGCATAGTTATTACAGTTCCTTTCAGTAGTAGGAGAACCACATCTTTGAAGTACCACCTCACTCCTCTCCCTTAACTACCATCCTCTCCTCCCTCAGTAAGGCTCACTGTTAAAGTGGAAAATGTTGCTGTGTCAAATATCCACTCAACCAACCCACTTTATTCATTTAAGTTATCTCTCTGGCCTTATTAATGATCTGAATTTGTAGCTCCTTGCCTGGCATGTGGCAAGTACTGTGTTAAGTGATAAGGATATAGAAGAATGAGGTTAGTGCCCTCAAGTACTGTGTTAAGTGATAAGGATATAGAAGAATGAGGTTAGTGCCCTCTTTGGAAAAAAAAATCACATTTTTATTGGGGAGATGCAGACATTTGATGCTTATAATTTAGATGCCTGAGTACACACCTGATTCTGCTGAACTTAGAGGATGACCTCCAAATTTTATTTCAGTTTGGCGAAGTATAGTCATGTTTAGCACCTGTGTGACATGTGGGACATCTGTCGTTAGCTGACAGGTTCGCGGAATAATGTCTGTTGGCTCATCTGTTGAAAAGGGAACACCATATACAGCTGGAAATAAAGACAAACATTCATTCTCAAAATGTAAGCTATTTCTGTCAAATGGACATACCTTACAAATGAAACCAGTAAAATAAGATATTTTAGAGTATGACTTTGGATGAGCTATTCAACCTTTCAGCCTTGATTTTCTCCTCTGTAAAATGAGCACAGCCATTTTAATGCTTACTTCCTAGGGTTGTAGAAAGATTAATGAGATAAGCATACAATGTGTGGAGCAAGTTCAGAGAACTGTGCAATAAACAAGAGCATTAATTGGAAATATTTTATATTTGCTTTTCAATACTGCAGGTGTGACTTGAAAGAACTGTTTAGGCATATTCCATTTAAGATTTCTGAGAGTACATCAGCTCATTTACATGAGATCAATAAGTACAATGACATTATTGAATAGTCTAAACACCCACAGCCATTTACATGAGTAAATTAATTTTTTAACTTATTTTAAAATAGTTTTAGGTTTACAGAAGTTTTTAAAAAGTACAGAGTTTTCTATATACTCTTTACCTAGTTTCCTCTGTTAACATCTTACCTTTTAATACTTTCAAAAAATACTTTATTATAATTACAATAGCATTTAATTTTAATTTCATTTACATATATTTAAATGAATATTTTAATTTTCTTTAAAAATTTTTGTATTTTGTTTTTAAAATGACAAATAATAGTTGTACATATTCATGGGATACATAGTGATGTTTCGATACACATAATGTATGGTGAATAGAGCAGGGTAATTAGTATCTAGTAGAGTATATATAGTATATAGCAGGGTAATTAGTATAACTCCAGCATCTCAAACATTTATAATTTCTTTGTGTTGGAAATATTCTATTCTCAAATAAAAAACATAAAAACTCAAAGATCTATACAAGCAGGTATTTCTAATTTCTGAAAAATAACTTAAATTTCTAGTTCTTGAGACATGTTAAACACATTATAGTGTTTTATGGGATGAGACAGAAAAGAACCACAATTAAATTGTATTTATGAAGGTGTCTTAATGACATGGGAAAGGTTCAAGATAAGTTAAAAGAAAATAATAGATACCAAAAAACTCTATCACAGCTGTAGAAAATAAATATATAAAATGAATGAATGACAAAAAGAATGAAAGGAAATATACCAAAATGTAAAATAACTTTAGGTGGTTAGCATAAGCATATTTTTAATTTTATTCTTCACAATAATTTCTATCTATGTTTGATTTATATGAATAAAGTTTCTATCCTTAAAATCTACTGGGAAAATGTGTGTGTGTATGTGAATATGAGTAAGAAAAAGTCAACCAATCATCCTTCAAAAAACATCCCTATGTAAGAATGCACTCTCACCAAGTTTATAAATGCAAAAGATGTTAGGTTTCTGTGCATTCTAGCTATGGCATTTTCTTTTTTCTTGAGTTGAGTCTCACTCTGAAGCCCAGACTGGAGTGCAGTGACATGCTCCCAGCCACCACGGCCTCACCTTGCTGGACTCCGGTGATCCTTCTGCCTCAGCATTCCAAGTAGCCAGAACTACAGGCATGTGCTACCATGCCTGGCTAGTTTTTGATTTATTGAAGAGATGAGGTCTTGCCAAATTGCCCGAGTGGGTCTCAAACCTGTGGGCTCAGGAAATCCACTTGCCTCGGCCTCCCAAAGTGCTGGGATTACAGGCTGAGTCACCGAGTCTGGCCGGCATTTTTCTAATTAGATCCTAATGACTTAATCTGAAAAAGGAAAATGAATCATTTAACTAAAAACTTAAATACTCATCTGCAAGGTAATGGTTTCTAAATGTCCCAATGCGCCAGTCACTAAAAATGCACTAGATTTACAAATTTTAGTTCTCAGGTACTCTTTGTCTGTCCATTCTTTGTCTCAGCATTTAGAAAATCAATATAAAACACCTAAGTAAACGAAGTTTCAAATGAAGTCTCAAACTAAATGAAGTAAAGACTTGGAAAAAACAAACTAACTCCAGATATGTATTTGACATATCATTCTAAAGTACTCTGAGGCAATAAAATAATTTCCACATCAATGTCAATATTGATAAACTAAGATTTGATGTTAAAAGATAATTCTGGAGGCTAGTAAGAACCTGAAATAAAATGCCATATTTTGAATCTTATAAAGAGAATCATGGAAACTTTAGCTTATAGGACTTGCATGGCTAGTACAGGATACAATGGCCACAGAGTTTGAAATGTAAAAACACAAAACCTGAGTTTCCAACTAACAAGAGACAGAGCAAATCTCCGGTAACCATAAATTCCTAAGCTTTGTGGAAGACAGAACCAGGCAGACACTATTACAAAACTCAAATCCAAATCTTACGGGAACATGGTTGACATACAGATCAGATCTCACATTCAAAGATTCAAATTTCCTCTGTGAAATCTTTCCTTTCTGTATATCTACCCTCCCTTGTCCCCCAAAGTGTCTCACTATTATTGAATTATTCTTTGAGGAAAACTATGAGCAGTATAAAACTTGCAAAAAAGGAGAAAAAAAAACAAAAACAAAAAAACCCTACTGGTAGACTGTTTTAAAATAAAGACTATTAAGCTCATTTAACAACTACCATCTCTAAAACTTTTTCTGAGACTTCGTGGAGGAATACTTTGAAAGAGGCTTTAGTTTCATTTGTGTGAAATCAAACTTTGAAGGAGTTTTAGGACCATCTATTACCTGGCAACTGGATATTCTTTGGCACTAAGTGGAAATTAGCTCATCTCTCCACCACCCACCTCACCACTAACCACCCCCTTCTCCATGTCCACTTTCTAAGTCATTTTATTACACATTTTTGAATTTACAGTTTAATTTAAAAATAAGGGTTAAGGCTGAAAATAGCATAATCCTACATGAAAATTAAACTGTGCTGAATTGTGCATCCATAGATAGCATGGTTTGTCTTCATTCATTTACTCATTTCATCATTCAGCAATTATTTATTGAGGCTCTACTCTGTGTCAGGCACTTGTCTAATGGCTGGGAATCTAATAATGAGCGAACTTGTCCTTGCCTGCTTGAAGCTTACACATAGCAGAGAATATGAAAAAAAAATCAAATAAGAAATAATTATGTGGCCGGGTGAGGTGGCTCATGCCTATAATCCTAGCACTTTGGGGGCTGAAGTGAGAGGACCGCTGAGCCTATGGGTTTGAAACCAGCCTGGGCAACTTGGCAAGACCTCATCTCCATAATAAATCAAAAAATTAGCTGGGCGTGGTGGTGCGTGCCTGTAGTTCTGCTACTTGAAAGGCTGAGGTAGAAGGATCACCTGAGTCCAGCAGGTCGAGGCTGCAGTGGTTGTGAGCATGCCACTGCACTCCAGCCTGGGCAACAGAGTAAGACTTCCACTCAAAAATAATAATAATAATAATTATGTAATTATAATTTTATTAAGTAATCTGAAGAAACTTCAAGGTGATTAAACAGCAGAATGGGGGACTCTAACAGCATAGACTGTCAGGGAAAGCACTATCTAATAGAGGCATTAAGTAGAACGTTGCCTGATGAAATGGTGTGAGAATGATCATTTGGGTGAAAGGAACAGAACATTGAAGAATGTGAAGACAGAAGGACTCTGGTGCATTCTAGGAACTGAGAGACAGGCAGTTATGTCAAAGGGTTGCAAGCCTGTGAGAGAAGGGTGGGAGAATTCCACTGATATATTTAGTACAGCACCTGGCACAGAGGGGATGCCCAGTAAATAGTCATGGACAAAAGTCCCTAAATAGCAGTCTAAACTACATTAAACGCAGTTGCCAAGTCTTCCGTTTTTTTTCTTTGTTTAGTCTTTGTTCAGTTATATCCTAAAAAGTACTCCATGCATATTTTATTTGGGTATCACAACTTTCTCCCCAGATGGCAAATAACACATCAAGCTGACAGTTAGATACTAAGGAACCAGGGCATGTCTGCATCGTTCTTTCAGACAAGTTCTATCTTCTGGAAGGGACTGTGTATGGAAACACAGACTGTCTGATTAACGTCTAGATAATAACACAGTCAAATCTAAACTGCGTTTACTAACACATTAGGTTGGCTGGAATGGTCAGTTCAGAATGGCAAAATGGTACATGAAGGAGAAGACTATGGAGAAAGCGGACAGATTTGCTCATATAGCATCATATAGATGGTGTTTTTCTTTTCTTTTCTTTTTAAAAATATCTTTGTTCCTAATATGAGTTAGTGTATTATTAGAATGTTTGAGTGACTTTGTAACCCTGATTGCCTTTCTTTGGCCATAAAACCATCATAAAATGAACAATTTTGTAGGTGTTTAATATCTGATGAGGATCTTAACTAGCATTAAAAATTAAGTCATCAATTTTAATACATATATAAAGCACTTTATGCATTAAAAATCATCACCCCTATTTTATTAGGGGGAAATGTCTTGTAAGGTATTGAGACTTATAGATCTGCTTTGGTTTATGACTCCTCCTAATTCATATAGCTTAAATAAGGACTAATTTTGTAATAGTTCACTAATCCCAGACTCATTTATAGTCATCTTATTTATTTGGTAATAGTCTGCAATGCCTAGTATAGTGCCTTAGTTATATCAGATTTCACTTCTCTGAAACACCAATGAGAGAAAAGCATAAAACACAAAGGTCTCTTCTAAGATATTGCTATACAGTCTGTTCATTTTTTGTTCATTCACTCATTCAGCCTTATAACTATTAGATTTTCTCTGGATCTGTCATGGATGCAAATCCCTGCCCTTATGGAGTTTGCTATATTATGCAGAAAGATATTAAGAAGCAGTATGTTACAGTGGTTAAGAACACAGGCTCTAGAACAAGACATTCTCGGTTCATATTCTGGTTCCACCACTATGTGAGCTTGGCACAGTAATTTATCTCTCTATACTCTGTTCTCCTTATCTGCAAATCATAGATAT